CAACAGGATACTAAAGATGCTTGCTCACTCATTTATTTATTTACTTATTTAATTTAATAGATTGATGTGTCTGCCACTTGTCTAGAGGCAATTCTGGATTTTTATGTGTAAAATAGGAAGAGATGGTGTCAAGGATGTGTGGGTACTTTATGAATATGGACTAAATGCAATTAGTTCATATACTTATAAATGTATAAGTATATGGACTTATGGAAAAAATCTGAAATGATTTGATCATATATGGAGACTGAAGAAAGATCAAATCGTAAAACAAATATGTGAAGTAGTAGTGAATGAATTTAGATGATGAAGAAGAAAGTTGTGGTTGGATGTAACTTATAAGATCTTCAAAAAGAGATGAAAAGTTTAAAAATAGAAGGGAATGTAGGAAGTGGTAGCAGGATGTCACGGAACAAGACAGTTTGCAAGGATAGAATAGTGTTGGTATAAACCAGTTTTAGTTCTTTCCTCTCCCCCCCCCCATATATTTAATTTGTCTGGCCTTCTATTGCTTACTCCTTTTCTGCATAACACTACTTACTCAAAAAAAACCATGATAAATACATGGATTAGCTTTGGAAAGAATAAATATTCATAAAGATGAATCATTTATGGTGTAGAATGATTTTCTCAACGGTGGCATGCTCCCTCTACTGGCAGTTCATCAGAGCTGATGCTTAACAATGCACAAAGAAGGTTTTTTTCACCCCTCAAGCAAGTGTTTCATATAGATAGATTCTGTACCTGATGTTATGGAGTGGGCAACAAGCAAACAGCAATAAGGAAACAATCAATCAGAGTGAAAGTCAGAAGAGTTGAGAAGATACTGTACTAGTTACAAAGGCCACAGAACAATTAATGACATAATCCCCCACAGTACTTCCCTCAGCAACGACGACAAATCAGAATATAATTTCTCGATCTAAAATGGCTTAATTTTAGTATTATATAGTATTTAGTATAAATCTGTGAACTATTTTCTGCTTTTAGAAAACAGGATAGGGGATCAAAATCCTAACACTGTCTTTTTTGCAATTTAGCACTCCATATCAGGAACACAATTGTGGCTAGTAACAATAATCTGAAGAGTAAAATATAGTGACCAAATATTGCAAGACTATATTGTCAGTACAGAATTCACTTCTTGCACTGATTTGCATGATCAAATGTGTAGCAGTCAGCCCTTCTTCTGAAATTTGTTGACACCACCTTCACCTTCAGATATGTAAGAGTCACAACAAAGCAAGAATAAAATGGCAGTTTAAGATCTTAAAATGTCAATTTGTAGCCTATATTTCTAGATTTCAGTGACTGTACGGTCAGCTTTTCTTCCCTCTGCCTGTTTCCAAACAGAATGTCAAAGAACACCAGACCGTTCTGCCTAGATTCAACTATGCACGCCTATTTATTTCTTTTCCATGGATTTCCTTTTCTTTCCATCACCCGATACATGATATCTATCTTTGGTATTAATTCTTGCTTGCGTTATTCAATTTCTGTGTTCATCAATGGTATTCCCTTGACTGATATTCCCATGACATGCGACATGCAATTTAGTAAATCTGTAAGAATCTAGGACAACTTTCCACAACCAAGTTGCCATGGCCAACTCACCACAGGACAACTTGCCAGGGGACAATTCAATGCTGCATTAATCATTTATTTAATCAGTTACTTTTATTACTGGTGACATTTTCATTGAAATTATTGTAACTCCTGTATTTCTGGATTGAATTTATTTTATTATTATTGGCCACAGTTCTGTCAACATTAATTTTACATTTGTATTTGTTGAATTGTCCTGTGGCAAGTTGTCCTGTGGCAAGCTGGCCACGGAGAGTTGTCCCATTACGATCTGTAATACAGGAATCAACCACTAGAATTTTCAGATGTGTGTGATCATATGAGCTATCCATGTTTGTGCGAACAGATACAACTATTTCAATCCTGAAGATAGGTGAAATTGATCACACTTATGTGTGTACAAATACACACACAATTACGACATGCTAGCTGCTTCTTTTCTTACGATCCTGTAGCTTTCTCCAATTGTTATTTCTAATTTGCTGAAGCTTCCAGAGTACCAGTCTGCAATTTCCATTATTTCTAAGCAGAGATTGGAAGAAATATGGTAACGTGGTTACAACCCTTATAATGAGCTTCCCATGAAAGCCTTTTTATTCTACCACTGTTTTGTTTACTGTTCAGTTTCAGACCATTTGATTCTCCTTAACTTCACCTTTTATTGTTTTATTATTGATATTATAGCATCAGTCCTTTTATGGAAAGAACGTTTGCACCGCTGTCATGAGGAAAAGAAGGAAGAGGCAGCAGACACCTTCAGGAAAAGATTTCACCTAAGCCAGGGCTTTTCAACCTTTTCACCGATTGTACCACTTTTAGGAGATGGCAATATTTGAGTACCACCAGTCGTCTAGCAAGGTGTCAAAAACTTGATGACCCTCCCCCAAAAGGAAAAAAGTGATCAAGTACAGGTAGTCCTCAACTTACAACAGTTCGCTTAGTGACTGTTCGAAGTTACAATAGCACTGAAAAAAGTGATTTATGCCCATTTTTCACACTTATGACAGTTGCAGCATCCCCAAGGTCATGTGATTTACATTTGCATGTTTGGCAACTGATTCATATTTGTGATGGTTGCAGTGTCCCAGGTTCACATGATCCCCTTTTGCAACCTTTTGACAAGCAAAGTCAACGGGGAAACCAAATTCACTTAACAACTGTGTTACTAATTTAACAACTGCAGTGATTCACTTAACAAATGTGGCTAGAAAAGTCATAAAATGGAGCAAATCTCATTTAACAAATTTCTTACCCTTTCTCCTTTTATATCCTCTCCTCTCTCCCCCTCCTTTTATATCCTCTCCTCTCCCCCCCCCCGCGTCCTTTTATATCAGGGGTGTTGATCTTGATTTCACTGAGGGCCACATCAGCATTGTTATTATTGTGGGGGGGGAGTGGGGCTGTGTGGCCAGCTCTACATTGCTCAGGTCAAGGGGCGCCTGTGGGGGGGCATCCAGGGGTTTTCAGTGGAAGGGGTTAGGGTTAGGCTCCTTCCGTCCCTCCTTCCCTCTTTCTCATTCGCATCTCCTTCCTTCTCTTTTCTTCTCCCTTTCTCCTCACAGCTTCTCTCACAAAAAGCCTTTTCTTTCTCACGCACATGTCCCTCCAAAATCCTCCCCATTCTCACGCACACGCCTCTCCAAAATCCTCCCTTCTCACACACGTCCCTCCAAAATCCTCCCCATTCTCACGTCCCTCCAAAATCCTCCCCATTCTCTCTCTCTCTCTCTCTCACACACACACACACACACACGTCCCTCCAAAATCCTCCCCATTTTCATGCACACACCTCTCCAAAAGCCTTTCCTCTCTCACACACACTTCTCTGACAAAAGCCTTTTCTCTTTTGCCTCTTTCTGCAGTGTCTTTTTCTCTCTCCCTCTCCTGCCAAAACTGCCTTTTATATCCCTTCCTGTCTCTGTCCCCCTCCTCCTCCTTTCTCTTCCGCGTGAGCTGGAAGTGCCGATCCTGAGGCCTTTGTCTCGACCCAGCTCGGCAGCTTCTGAGGATTCTCTCATGGCAAGTCCTGCGCTGTGCCACTTTGGCTCATCCCCTCCCCCCGCTACACTTGGCTAGGCTGGGCAGAGCCGCGTACCACCTGCCAGGTATCACCGGTTGAAAAGTCCTGATCTAAGCTTCTGAAAAGCAGAAAGTTGTCGAATACATCACAGGAAACATGCCTTTCCTGTAACTAACATCCCCCAGGTCATTTCTGACAGAGGATAACCTTTTCCTTCTCAGACTGCTGCTCTTTGCTCAGCCACCAAGCGGCTCATACAGGAGGAAAACGAGGGCTAAAAGTTTAAATCCTTGAAAAAAAACCAAATAGACTAGATTTTATAACTACAGATAGTCCTCGCTTAACAATCATTTGTTTAGTGATCATTCAAAATTACAACAGTGCTGAATGAAGGATTTACAACCTGTGTCCAAAGTTACAGCCGCTGCAGTGCCCCAACAGGCACACAATCAAAATTCAGTGCTTGGCAGTCTGCCTTCACTTACAACCAACTACGGGAAAGGGGAAACTCCCCTCTATCTCTGCCTTTAAACGCCCAGCAAAAAGAGGCATTTTAGGACACTGAAGCCGAGCAGATGCCTTTAGAATTTTTGTGTCTTCTTTTTTATAAAGGGTCAGGCTGGGTGCACCACATAAGCAGTGAAGTGAAGAAAACAGTGAGGATCAGCTGGAGTGGCAAAGTTCAGGCAGCACAGGTGGCTCGGATGGGGCTTCCCATGGGTTTGGTGGTTAACTGGGGGATGGTTGCTATGTGCTGTGCCATTGGAGACTCATGGGCATTTGGAACATCCCGCCATGTTTTGTGCCCCACTGTTTTGTGCCCCACTGTGGAGGCTCTGTGAGTGTTCAGCCCTTTGTGGATGAGTCTGGCTGCTTCATGCATAGCCTACACTGAGCCTCGAAGGACTTCCCCCACCTCCCTGAGGCACTCCCGTGCACCTTATTTGGGATCCCCTCCACTCAATGAATGGTGAGATTGCTTAATGACTGCAAGGGAAACTGCCCTGATTGCAGTTGTTGAGCAAAACAGTCACGTGATATCTTACTTAATGATCTTTTCCTCAAATGAGATTCCAGTCCCAATTGTGGTCGTTAAACTTGGACTACCTGTAGACCTAGTTTCCTGCACAGATTGTTCTTCTAATCTTTAACTTGCTAACACCACTGTTAAAAATAGAGACAGTATTAGCAGTCACCATGTTAGCAGTCACCACTGAAGAGTGCTTGGTACAGAAGGAAGCAGCTACTTGCTTCAATCAGACAAATGTCAAATCAGTTGTATCATATCATCTGTGTGTACTTAAAATTCCTGTAAATTGGGTAGAGGAACACAGGTTCTTCAGAAATGTTTTCAAGATTATGTCACTGTATTTGCCGCTCATCTGCAATACTATACCTTATTACATCAGGTTCTGTATTTTCAATTTGGAAAGATGCTTGGAGTTTTCTGTGTGCCGTGAAAAGTTCATCTACTAAAATTTGCCGTCTTTCTCCTTCTCTCTGGGTTCTGCAAGAACTGGATTAAGGATCATTGTTTGATTAAAAAAAACGAATCAAATAGGTAAAGAATGGTACCCATGTACTCAACAGAACAGAACATTACATCCTGAGTAAGGAAACTCAAGTAAAAAATTAAGCTTCTCACAAACCATCTCTTTTGCAATAATCCTGTTTTATAAAGTGTGTTACTTTTATGCACTTATAAAATAAGAACTATAAAATAATTTGCACACAGAAAAGGACTACAAAAGTTAAAAAAAAAGTCCATCTTCAATCCAATGTCTAGGACAAATTATAAAACAAGCACATGTATTTAAAATAAAAACCATGATAGCAGATGCAGAAGCCTGATTCACACTTGCTGTTACCAAAGAGGGTGTCAATTTATGCTCAAAGGGGGTGCAATCACACATCAAACAGGCATGTATATCAGGGAGGATTGCAGAATTGTAAGGGTCCCAACACTGCTTTTGTAGCCCTCAGAGTCTACACAAATTACGCAGAATATTTTTTGAATTTAGGAAGATCTGGGAAAGAATTTAAGAGGCAAAACTAACACCTTAGTTTTGCAAAGGCTTAGGGTATCCATTTCACACTTTTAAAATGTTAGCTGTCCATAAAAATGGATATACTTTGGAGTGCAGCCTGCAGGTATTTTGGAGAGTGGCCCTGAACAGGAAATGAAAAGTAAATTGAATAAAGATAAAAGTCGGAATACTTCCTGTAGTTGGGTTTTCCCCAAATTGAGGGATTTTTAAAAACATGTGTGAATCAGGTAGGGGTTTTCCAAAATAAAATGAACCATAATTATCATATTGGACTTCCAGTTACAACTGTTTACATGGATACAGCTGACGTGTTGATACAGAGTGAAACAACAAGTCTTTCAGACGATTGGTTTTTTCTTCAAGATTTTGCAGTAACGACCTGACAGCAACATTGACCTAGAGAGGGAGAAAGAAAGATAAGACACAGTGTGGCTTATCTGTTTCTCAAAGACAGAATAACATCCAAAGGAAGGAATAATGAATACAAATCAAACTGTTTAAAAAATTACCAGTACATCTATTCTTACACTACACTGTCTTTATGCTATCTCATGTTCCTGAGCTGTTCCTGACTCTGCTGATTTTTAACTTCAATACAGCTTTTCCTTTTTTGTGACAATGATTGTGTATGCAATACCCACAAGCAAAATGACAGCTCTACTCTCTGGATTTGGAAAAGTCCAAAATACTATTTTAAGGATTAGCAAGAAGCCAAAAATTCTCAGAGAGTTAAAAAAAAAAGTTTCTAAAGTTTTCTTCACAGAATGAAGAAAGCCTCAGTATAGAAACTGATGAGGGGAACCAATCTTTTCAGGAATATAGCATGATTGGATGAGAGCTGGTCCTCATCTACAATGTCTTGTGCATTGAGGGGGAAACTGCTTCTAAATCATCCTTCAGTAGCCCCATTCTGGGTCAGGGTTCTGAATGTAGCAGAGCAGCTTCCTTGCTGAGATCCACTGAGAGTCAAAGGGCAGCAAATTGCACAAAGGTGGTAAAAACTGACAGTTAACACAGTTAATGTCCAGGAATTGCTAGAATCTCATGTCACTATAATCTAAGATAATGAAGCAATGCCATCCACTCACAAGACCTTTCTCAGGCTAAAACTCATTGTGAATCAGCACTCCCCTGGCCCTCCAGTCTCTTGAAACGTAACAATATAAACAATAGTCCTGTTTTGGACACATTTATCAAAGGGGGCTATGGCAGACTCATTATCAATCCACACTAAACACACTTACTTGGATTTATGTCCAAATAAGTTTGCTTATGAAAGCAGATTTGTACACTATGACAAAGCAGCTGGAAGTTATAAAGGAAACAAGAGCCCACATTCTGCTGAAAAGTACCACCCACTCAATACAAGAGCAATTTCAATTATAGGACTTCAATTATAGGCTGGCTTCATACAATACAACTAGCCAACCATATTTTAGCCTGATATATTGTGCAAATATTTTTATTACAAGGTGCTCAGTTGTGAGGAGTTATTTTTTTTATATTTCCATAGAAAGATAGACATCAGTCAACCAAAAGAGTGGAAAAAGAGGGAAAGAGTAGGAGAAAAGCACATGTATTTTTCCATATCCCTTCTTCTCTTTGTCTTTTAATTTCAATTCCATTTTCTCAAATTATTTTTTTAAAGCAGAAGTGGCAAAATCTCATGAAAAACAAGATACTATTGACATTTACCCTGCTTGGCTGATAGAGTGGAAAGGCATTTTTCTTTATTAAAGCAGCATGACTGATCTGAGCGTTTCTCAACATCAACCCATAACATCAACTGTTATGGCAATATATATAGTCATGGTTTAAGGTCTGTTTATACTGGATTCAAATTCTGGCTCTCTAATCATCCTGAGGAAGCACCTCCAACTTTATGAATATACAAAGCTTTCTTGATAAACTCATTTGTTGGCTGTGCAAAACATTCGCAAGCTAAGCCAGCATTTTTATAGAAGAGAAAGCTAGATGAGGAGCATTAGTTGATCCTGACTATAGACGTATGCAATCACACAAGTACTTGCTCTAATTGCTCATTCCTTTTTATAAAAGTAAATCCAGTCCCAATGGGGGAAAAGAGATGATCAAGAAATAATCAAATTACCCCTGAAACTATAAGATCTATACATATAATTTTAACAGTGGTATCTAGAGATCTATTGTTGGAATCTAAAGATTGCTACACACATATTTCCTAAAACAAGAACTGCCCACACAAACTTAAGTGTGATTAATAGAAACACACTGTATGCTTTTCCATACTAATCTGGATTCTTCTTTAACAACCAGCAATTAATATTCCTAATTATTATGACTATTTCAATACTGAGGATTCATTTCCCAAATGTTGTCCTGCAAAAAAATGCTTTTTCACTTGTATAAAGCTATAATATCAACAGCTAATAAATATTCTTGAATCATTTCAGAAAGAGACTTTAACATTTTTATTGCATTCATTGTTAGACGTAGTTAACAAAATCAACATTTTAAAAAATGTTTCTTTAAGCTTCTTAGTTCATAATTTCCTTTTGTAATCTTTGTTGTGTACTGACATAGGAACTGTAATGAACATCCTTTTGGAAACTTGTCATGGGAAGGCTTTACCACAGAAAAAAAGCTTTGCATTAATCACAAACAATACATTGCAATCACAATGTATTCCCTTATTGTTGATACTAAAAAATATAGCAAAATCTAAAGCAAAGAGGCAGGCAATACCTTAGTTGTACTTTCACCACTCCTCTGGTATCTGTTGCGTTCTTGAATTTTTTCAGCAATCTCTTGTGCAATATGGCAAGCAGAATCATACAACAACAACCTTAAAAAAAACAAAGAGAGAGATAATATTAAACAGCAGTAAAATCTCTCTGTACTTTGGACAGCTTTTATTACATGCCTCAGTTTCCTCAAAAGAAGTTTGCTTTCATTCCTTCCTGTTTAGACTTTTATACCAACCACCTGTTGTAGCAAATAATCTATTAATGTTAAAGATATCAACTGCTATGAAGTACAGGAAATTCTCTCTCTCTCTCTCTCTCTCTCTCTCTCTCTCTCTCTCTCTCTCTCTCTCTCTCTCTCTCTCTGTCCTACTAAATGAGTAGAAAATGAGGAATTTGATTTATATTGATGTTAACACATGAATTTACTTTTTAAACATCTATTATGGAGGATTGCCAAGGCTACTGTTTATACAAAAACTGTTCCTATATTTAATTGTCCTAAAGTATAATAATTGTTCATACATGTGATTGTCCTAATATACATATGCCGAACTGTGTGGAGTTATAAATTGATATAAATATGGCAGGTACACCCAAAGCTATGAAGTATGAACTGGTCTTTCATTTCTCTATTTTATCAGATGGAGGTAGAAAAGATCCTAGGTAGCAAACTAGAGTGATTATCTTTCATACAAGCAAAGGGATACATACAGTATGAAAATGAGGCAATATGCACAAACACAAACAACTTTTAGTAGTTCAAGAACACCATAATAACTCTTAATGTAAGAGAAATAAGTTAGTTGTAAAAAAAGTCTCAATTTTGTTTCAAATTTAGGGCATATTGTAAGGAATTAGAATCTCAATATATAGAAAATCAAAACTTAATTTAGAGGGGGGTTTTCCTAAGAAATTAAGAAATATAATTTATTCTCATTTTCCATTATGAAGGTTGCTTCATTTTATTAATAGTTTATACAATTCCATTTTTATAAACAAAATGTTTTATTGCAATTACTATAATACATTATATTTTATAGCTAACAGAATTAATGTTGCAATTTGCAATTTATATTTTGAAATATCAACTTTCTTCAATGTGCTCATTTTCTTATAACTTGCTAATTAAATTATATATTACCTTACATATTATTTTGGGCATTACATTTTTATCAAGATAAATGTTATCTGATTAATTGAATTGCTGATGTGCACATCTTTAGGTGTTACTAAACAATATTTAAAATCAATTATGTTTATTTTGCAATAGCATTCAGAATATTTTTGAAAATTGAATCCTATTAATTTAAGTATAAATTATTAGGATGTTTTTTTTTTAAAAAAACACATTTTAATGGTATTCAAGTGGTCAGTTACTTGTACTATGAAACATGCCCACATTTTTAATGTGCAAAAGGCAATACAGAAATGTTTTATAAAAAAACTAAAAAGTACTTGTTGTCATTTAATGTAAGAATAATTATTAGTTACAGTCATGGTATCCGACTAAAACTGGGCCTCCTTGGGTCTATGATAATCAAAGATGATTTGCTGTACAAATCACAGTGGCCTTGATCACACATATTGCCGAATTGAAAAACATTATTCATATACAATAATTACACTTTACAATAAGTCAAGCCAAGCCAAGCAAATTATGTTATGGATGTGTTTGCACAATATACATGATTCCATCTGACATAAATCATGAGCAACTTTTGTTGTATACACTTTCAAATTTTCTAAACGTTTGCATATTTTTGTCACTGAATGTCATCAACATATGTGGATCCTACCGAAATGCACAGGAAATTTTGCTATACTAATAATGTTTCAGGTGCATCTTATTTATTTCAAAAAGAGCCATCCTATTAAGGCCAACCTATAACGTCAAAATGAAAAAATGATGTCTTAATTTAATTCACTAAGCCAGTGATGGCGAACCTTTTAGAGACCGAGTGCCCAAACTGCAACCCAAAACCCACTTATTTATCGTCGGTTGCCAGGTGGGCGTGGCCTACTGGGCGGGCGTGGCTGTGGTGGTCATGGCATACTGGGTGGGTGTGGCCAAGGTGGGCGTGGTCACCTCGATGTTGCTCATGGGAAGGGTTGCCTGTGGGGGCCGGGCAGGGTTGGGAGAGATCCAGGGGGTCTCTGGTGGCTGGGGCGGTGGATAGGAGGCTCATCCTGCGGGGTGAGGCGAGGCAGGGCGGGGGTGCCATTGTCGCAGGGCAAGGTGAGGCAGGGGCTGGGGTGGCTGCTGCGACACCATCGGCCCCTGCACACAGAGGCCAGCGAGCGCATGGGGGCCGACAGTGCCCGTCAGCAGCCACAGCCTGCCAGCCCCTTGACCGGCACACTCTGGGGCTCTGCACCCCGCCGCCAGCAGTTCAGAGAAGCCGCCACTGAGCTGGACAGCCGGCCAACAGCTGAGGAGGCGATGCAGTGGGTCATGCCCGGGAAAAGGAGAGCATGCGAGGCCAGGAGGGATGGGACAGGGGGGAGGGAAACCAGCCGTGCTGGGATACATCCGGCCATGTGGGACCTCAGTGAGTTAGCGGGCGGCTGGTTGAAGAGGGACGGTTGCCATCTCCGGGGCATGGCGCGCATGCCCACAGAGAGGGCTCTGAGTGCCGCTTCTGGCACACGTGCCATAGATTCGCCACCCCTGCACTAAGCCATTATATTACCTTTAGCTGCAATAACTGCAATCAAACACTTCCTGTGATCTCTTTTTCCTGTAGGAATTTTGGCACATTGCTCCATGGTGAAGCTTTTTGAAAGTTTTGTCAAGAATCACCTGACAGTGAGATGGGCAGCATACAAATTTAATAAATCAGGTTTTCCTGCATGAACTGCTCTTTTATATTTTACCATATTTGATGTGGCCACTCATATTTGATACCACTTTAATGTGGCCACTCCAAAGAATTTAACTTATTCTTCATCATCCATTTTTTTGCAGACTATCTGTATTGGGGGGGTGTGTGTCACCATTTATGTTAAATTTCAGATTAAGTTGTGGGATATACGGTACCCTGTAGAATTATCTGACATGAAACAAAAAGTATTCTTTCAGCAACAGCATCCAGGTTCTGAGACAGCAAAACATCTCTTAACCATAATATTACGACCTCTTTGCTTGATAGCAGGCATGAGATTCTTATTGTAGATAATTTCCACAAGGCAGTGGCCATATAGCCCCAATGTTCCCTGAATATTTCCCCAAAGTCTGGAGGATCAATAATTACATTACACATTATATGATTTAGTAAAATACATTACTGAACACTGTAATTCTGTCATTATGTATATTAACTCAGCCACTAGAGCTTTAAAATGGACCATGGGGATAGTTCATGCAATGCATAGGTAAGAAATGTGCTTTGTGAAAAATGGCAAAGACTTTATCTTTTAATTTTCAAATGTTCTTGAACATTTTAACTATGTTAAAAGTAGTAAAAACAGTATATGTTTTAGGAAATAAATGTTGCAGACTCTAATTCAAACATAATATATAGCAGACATATTTTAGATGCTTAATGTGTCATAGCAAACTTTGTTCTAAAATAGACATTGTTGGAGGAAAGCTGTGTATGTGAGCTGTGATATCCCAAAATCAGAAAGCTAGTAGCACCTTTTGAACTAACCATTTTTATAAAAGGCATAAACACATATAAAATTTAATAAAAACCGTTAGTCCAAAAACATGCTACCACATCCAATTTTGGTCCTCAAAGCAAGCATGTTTAATTTCTTCTACTACACCAAAATAATACAGAAGACTCAATTTCACTGCCTGTAGAAATTCTCCCATTTATTAAACCGAAGAGGAAGAGCAGAACACGGAGGTGGAGGAAGGAATGCGAGTCATGTGTTATAGCAATGTTTTTCAACCTCGTCCTCTTTCAAAGGGATGTACTTCAACTGGCTGGGAGTTCTGGGAGTTGGAGTCCAACTCCTCTTAAAATTGCAGAGATTGAGATCAATGCCTTCCAGGAAAAGGTGCGCATTTCATCTCGCCCCCTCCTCCGCCCCTCGTTCGCCAGGCACTTTTAGCGGCAAAGGGGAGAAGCAGGGAGCATGCGCAATGCCGAAGAGGAGGAGCAGCAAGGGGGGCCGTCCTTCGTGGGCTGCCCTCAGGCCCAAGCCGAAGACCGCCTGTCTCCCCCGACTTTGCTTATTCTGCCTGCTGGGACTCGCCACCAGCCTGCCCAAATGGCCCTCCGCGCCCTCCGTCACTCACCAAGGCTCCGCAGCCATCGCGGCAGCCGGCAACCGCAGGCTTCCTGAAGTCTACTATCTGCTCGGCCGGGAACTCTTCCGGCTCCGATCACCTGACTACGAGGCGTGCCGAGGCTCAATTTATGACAGCGCCCCCTTCGGATGATTGGCGAAGGCATCTTCGAGATGGAACTGGATTGAGTCGGAGAGAAAAGCGTGTGGCCATTTAGACTTTCGAGGCTCGGGGTTAGAAATCTGGTCTCTCAACTTGTGCTTTCCCCACGAAGGAATCGTAATCTGCATCCTGGACGGGGATCCCTGACTGAAGGAGACGTTTCCTTTTTGCAAAACCAAATGGGGGAAGGGGAATGCAAAAAGGTGGAGCTTGCGTTGCTCACAAACATGATAACGTTTGTAAATTCCGGTCCTTATAAGAATTTAGATAATTTGGAGCCGCGTTTCATATTGCTGATAAGGTACTACTCAAACACAAAGGTTGTGCCTTAACAATTCATTGGCTTTCAAAATGTCCAAAAAGTTTTTTTTTTCTTATCTGCCTGGAAGCCAAATTTTGCATCGGAATCATGGGACAGATGATGAGGCATTCAGTGGCTGAACTGCCCATCTCAAAAAAAACCCAACAGCATTTTTCTCCAAGGTCGAACCTTTTTTTCCTAACTCTTCCCTCTGCACATGGCTTTGTAGGGCCCAAATCTGAGCCATAAGGTTTGGTGACAAGGCAAGGATATGTACTGAAACTTAATGCTCACTATAGGTAATGAAAGGAGCCATGGATATGAAAGCCCATAAGAAACATGAGGAGCTATGAAAACAACTGGTTGAGTACCACTGAAATAAAGGCATAGTCTGTCTCCACGTCATATTGACCCAAGTGCTTTAAAATAGCCATAAATAATATTGATACAATACCTAGAAATCCTGGACCATTGAAATTATAATAGTAAAACACAGTTTCTTTCTATTATCACTTTGTCCTTAGAAATGAATGGCATCCCATTAGAGGCATGGCTTAATGACGTTGGAGATGGTCTTTCTCCAGCAGTTCAAGTCCTGTGCCCAGTTGAGCTCCCATCACACACCTCAGTTTCTGAGCACCTAGCAATTTGAAAGCATGTTCTCTGTGAGTAAATAAAGAGGTACCACTTTGATGGGGAGACAAGTTGGTGCTCTGTGCAGGCAGTCAGATTCCTGCCAGCTCTGAATCTTCCCAGTTGCAGTGCCTGTTTGTGAGGCAGTTCCAGGGAGAGAGGGAGCCTTGGATGATGCTGCAGGAGGAGCAACTTGCCTTTTTGTTTGGTGCGAAGTCAGCTCACCCTCCTGTGGCACACTGTAAGAAGTGTGCGAGCATTTCCTACAACAATGCTGGTAACTTGACAACCAAACTACTACATTGCTATAGCATTATGGTCTCCTGGCTAATGTAACAATGCCATCATCATCATTATCATCATTATTATTATTATCATTATTATATCCGATGATACACAGCATGCAATGCCGCCCATCAGAAAGCAATTCTAAAGCAGGAGGCATAGATCTCTGCTCAACACTATTAGGCTTTCTCTATTATACTGGCATCCTGAAAGATTGGTGAGGAGATAGTGGTATACTCTTTTTTCCTTAGGTACAGGTAGTCCTCGACTTAGAGCAGTTCATTTAGTAACCATTCAGAGTTACAACAGCACTGGAAAAAATGACATGACCGTTTTTCACAGTTACAACCTTTGCAGCATCCTCATGGTCACGTGATCAAAATTCAGACGCTTGGCAACTGGCTCATACTTATGACTGTTGCTGTGTCCCGGGGTCATGTGATCAGCTTTTGCAACTTTCTGACAAGCAAAGTCAGTGGGGAAACCAGATTCACTTAACAATCATGTTACTAACTTATCCACTGCAGTGATTCGCTTAATAACTGAGGCAAGAAAGGTCATAAAATGGGGCAAAACCTTACTTAACAAATGTCTCACTTAATAGAAATTTGGGGCTCAATTGTGGTCGTAAGTCAAGGACTACGACATATAAGATACCTATGTAAGAAAGGGTTGTTTAGTTAGCTGAGGTAACTTCACAATTATCTAGAACGGGTATCAAACTCGCAATGTCTCGTGACGTGTCACGACATATCGTGACTTTCTTTCCATTGCCGGCACTGGGGTGGGCACAATTTCGCTGTGATGCATCTGGCCCGTGGGCCAGCACCTTGACACCCTTGATCTAGAACCATGATGATATGTTGTTCAATCTTGACCTAAAAATCTTTTGGGAATGGGGGAAGGGTTACATAGGATAGATAAGAATTTTCTGTTGTCTTCACTTGCTCAGTATATTCAAAAGCACATTTTCTTGTTTAAAATAATGCTTACCAGAAGTCTTTTCAATGCACAAGTTAAAAAGAAAGGAATACAGTTGTATCTTTTCAAACAGTAAATCTGTTAATATACTGTTCAGAGTGCCACACATTCTAAACCCAATCAATGGTCCTCAGAACATTCATTGGGGAAGTTCAAAGTTTAATAATTAAATGGATTATTGTTGTTAGTTGCGAAGTCGTGTCCGACCCATCGCGACCCCATGGACAACGTTCCTCCAGGCCTTCCTGTTAGGCATTAAATGGATAATGTTAGGCATGGCCTCTAGTAACATTTCTATTAAAGACCCTTTCACCTTCTTCAGCAATCAGTTCTTCTTGAACATACCAAAAAGGTCGCACAAAAGTCTGAAAGTAAACTATTCTTTAAGAGAATAGTTTGGCTTTGAAGTCAAAGTGCAAGATTCTGTTAATGTGCTCTTACAATAAAGTAGAATTAGCTCATCTAGTCTTCTCTTTTGTCTGGTTTCCCTGGGTGGGCTGACAGACTGCAGCTGATCTGAAAGTGGATTTAGAAATGACAGGTTACAAGAATGATATGGAAAAAGATGCTACACTATGCATACAAAAGAAACCAGCTGATGTCTTAATAATTAAAAGAGGATATACAAATTACTGTCAGCCCTTCCAAGTAACCCAGGCTGGGAATATAACTAGAAGAACTAATTCTGTTTTATTATAAGGCTACATTAACAGAATCTTGTAGTTTGCTACTTTTAACTGCTTACGACTGTTTCCTACTGGTTGTTTTTTTCTCTGAATGTTGAGCCACTGTGGGCTCCTGCCTCTTTTCTCTCATTGTTTCCCAGGCAGCATTTTTTCCCTTTGTTTCCCAGGACCAACCATACATTCTGTTACAGCAGTGGTTCTCAACCTGTGGGTCGGGACCCCATTTGGGGTCGATCGACCATTTCATGGGGGTCGCCAAGCAAGGCTGTCCGCCATTTTTTTGTCTGCCATTTTTTCCCCTTTTCCGGCGGGTGCCTTACCTCCCTTGGGCTGGACCAGCTGGTGGTCGGCCTGCTCCATCTCTGCCACTTGCCAGCTACGCCTCGGCCGGCGCAGGGGGCAGAACCACGCATGCGCAGTGCTCCCGGGCAGGGAAAGTCCTCGACTTACAACCGGTTGGGTAGTCCTCGACTTACGACCGGTTTAGTCCTCGACTTACGACCGGTTTAGTCCTCGACCTACGACCGGTTTAGTTCTCGACTTACGACCGGTTGGGGTTGCGGCATTAAAAAGGTTGAGAACCACTGTGTTACAGTGAACTGGATGATTTTCCTATCTTGCGTTTATAAAAGTGGCTTGTTAAAGCTTTGAAGAAATTTGTGAGGGGGGACAAAAAAATGAATAGAAATTAGGTTCTAGTACATTATTTGAAAGAAATAAAGATCAATATTGTCCTGTAATGAAGTAATTTATCTATTCCTTTTCTTTTTCTTTACTATATTCTTTTTTTGTCTTTTCTATTTACTTTTTCATTTCTGCACCTTCTATTTTTTCTTTTATACTTTTTTACAGTTTATATTCTTATTTTATTATTTAAATTATAATTTTAATAAAATTACTATTAAAAAGATATAATTGGGTTTCTTTGTCCTTAAAAGTAATATATCAACAATTTAAGAGAACTAGTGGTGTTCTTAAAAGGAAGTCTGTGTTCAATGGCAAACTGAACAGTTTATCTTTCGTGCCTCTCTGAAATTCATATTGCACATTCTGACTGCAGGATTCCTGGTAGCTCCTCAGAAAAGCGTCCTTCACAAATTGAAAAGCAGTAAATTAAATATTTGTCTTTAAGATTCTAAAAATTAGACTTTTTATTCAGACAATGTTGATACACATGGTTGTGTACAAATAGACACACAAACTCTACCATACTGTATATATTTAGAACAATAAATAATGTCAAAAGTTACATTTATAAAGAAAGATAAAACCAGCAGAAGAGATGAAAAACAATGCCGCATAAAAAAATAGAGTATCCACAAGGACTATCATATATTTAATTGTCAGGGAAAATCAAAATGTATTTATTTGGTACTAGAAAGACTTTAATGTAGGAGCCAGCCAGAAAATTTCTACTGACAAGATGTCATCGCCAAAATAATTCTTCTGGAAAATATCTGTCTCAGTAGAACTCTGGCAAGGAAATTTAGAGGTTCTGTTTAGTGCAGTTTGTTGGGTTGGCTTTAAAGAGTTGATATGGAAAGACATCTGTCAACTGTGCCTGTATAGGTAATAGGAAATTGTAATGAAGACATAAGTTGCATCTCTCAAAGCCTTGAATGGAGCTCCCTAACATCTATAATATTAGAAAAGACAATTCAAAGACGCTGACAAAATTCGTCAGACAAATACCCGCAGAGTGAGGGTGGGCAATGAATGGATATGTTATATCAAATCCAACCATTGTATGGTGTCAGTGTGTTTCTCAATATTTTTGGGGGGGATGCAGGCAAAGTATTAACATAATATGTGGAATATCCTCAATCAAAAAAAAACCTTTGCCCTTTTTTTACCTTATAGTAATATTGTACTGATAAATAAGGGTAAAGGATTTTACAATTTCAGAAAGATTCTAAATAAATATTCACATCCTGTGCTAAGTACATTAGGCTACAAGCATATTCTACAGTTCTTGGTCTGCAGCTACAGTGTCCCGCATCCTTCCATTTAAGACTGATGTTTTTCAGGTCTTCCTGAAATGTTTGG